TTGTTCATAAGTTCCATATTGAACTTCAAGCATATACATCTGAGTGGAATGAATTTATACTTGGCTAGCTTATTACTAATTCCCTACTGTTTATGAAATAATTTTAATAAGATAACTTTCAGAAGGATTGTGACTTAAGAGTTTACTTTTATGGGGAATTAGGATATATACATACATAATTAGCCATGATCCTAGGTAAAAAAATGTATCTAAGGGTTACCTATTACCACATGGAACTACTTCTCTCTCCCTCTCCCCCAGTATTTTTCAAGCCTGTATTGGGGCTTTTTTTGCTCAAGACTTATGTTCTACTACTTGAACTTGGTGGTTAATAGGAGATAAGAGTCTTGTAGACTTTCGTGCCTGGGCTGGCTTTGAACCAAAGTCCTTAGATTTCAGCATCTTTAGTGTCTAGGATTACAGATGTGAACTTCTAGCACCTGGCTTAGATTACTCTTTTGTGTAGACACAAATAAACACCTGTGTCCAATAAAGCAATTGAACTGAGAGTTATAAAAAAAAATTCCATTTTAAGCAGACAGTAACATTATAGTTGTGTGGAATTCTATCATTTTGATGCTCAGAAGTAGCTACTTTATTAACAGATTTATAGGTGAATACTATATGCTAAGAGCTCAGGGAGATGTTATTTGCAATAGGATACAGATCAGGGACTCATGTCCTGTGCTTAGGGTTGTCTGTGAGCCTGGAAAGTGCTTAGTTACTATTTCTCCCCTCCAAGACAAGTTAAGCATTTCTTCAGTGGTGACTCTGAATGACAAGCCATGGTATTAGCACACCAGTAGAGCTCATAGGTCTTTTCAGTTAAATTATAATTGTTGCAGATAGCTCAAATATATGTATCACTACTACATAATTAGTTGTAATTCCCAACAGAGCATGTTATTTAATGTGCTTATAAAGCATATATTGCTGTATTATAATTTTATAAGTATATGCTAGTATACTTTTTTATATCATGTTCTAAGCACCTAAAGGTACTATTATAAGGCAAGATTCTTAGGTTTCATCAGAATACTAAATAGGTCATTGTCCAATAAAAGGCAATAAACCTCTGGTTTGTAACATTTCAGTGAAGGAAAGTAAGAGTAGGCTCTTTCTTTCTTTTACTCTCCCACTGCCTAGTAGAAAAAATAAAATTGAAGGCCAGTTTTCTTATTATATAAAGCAAGCTTAAGCCTCATGTAGGTGTTACTATATTAGTAAGACTTTGCATCTTCTTAACTCACAGTCTAATCTAGAGCATCAGATGATTTTATTAAGGTTTCTGGTGATAGCACCATGTGCAATCCTTACTTGCAAATCTATTATTCAGAACATCCTGGAAACCAAAAGTTTATTTTCCCTAAGTTTGGCATTCATCTCTTTTGGTGGCAAAGTCTAATGGTGTAATACTTTGTAAATAATCTTTCTACTGAATCAAGTGCGGATATATTTCACTGTAGGAATGTTAATTGTAAGTGACAGAGTAGTTTCTTGATCCCATTGGGAGAAATATGAGAGATATGGGATGTTTAAACATGTTAAATTCTTAACTCATGAAGAAAATTGCCCTCAAAGGTTTGTAGAGTTAATAATACGACCAAAAGTGATGGTAGCCTTGATAACAGTAGTATAATTCTCTTTGTAGTTAGTTTGTCATTTAAAAAAGAAGTCCCTGAATTCAGTAGAACATGCTTAAGTGGAGACTGCCTATATTCACACATAGGTCAAATGGTTTTGCTTGGTAATTTAGTGTGTGTGTGTGAGAGAGAGAGAGAGAGAGAGACAGAGAGACAGAGAGACACAGAGAGAGAGACAGAGAGAGACAGAGACAGAGACAGAGAGAGAGAGTGTTGGTCCTGGGGCTTGAAATCAGAGCTGTCTGAGCTTTTTTTTTTTTGCTCTAGGCTAGTGCTCTACCACTTGAGTCACAGCTCCAATTCAGGCTTTTGATGATTAATTGGAAATACAAGTTTCATGGACTTTTCTGATTTCAGCCTCCTGGGTAGCCAAGACTATAGGCATGAGCACCAGCATACAGCAGTAATCTAGTTTTTAAGATAAAAATCTGTAAGTTTTCTGAGAAACAGTTATGCTCAATATTTCACTTTATATCTGCAATAAGAAACTGCAAAGTTGATGTAAATCATCCTATCTAATTATGAGATTTATCATCTATTGTGAGTTAGCACTGTATAGGTATGTGTTCCATGATGAACAAAATAGACAAGACTCCAGGCATTATGGAACTTGAATTTTAGTGGAGGGGATAACCAACAAGCATTAATGTTTAAGATGCTTATTATTTATTCATGTGGAAGTGTTAAGTAACAGTATGATATACAAGTCTGCACCCCAGAGACAAATACTGTCTAGAAATGTAAGGTCAGAATACCAGGATATATATTTATAGCATTGATAATCATGTACAGGAACACTCGGTAGAAGTAGAATGTGTGGGCTGAGAACTCGATTATTTCAGCAATTGTAGACTGATCATCAGACAAAGGGGTGGTGCGGAGGAAACCTGGACCTTCAGGAGTATTGAGAACAGGTCTGCTGTTCAGGTGCTGTCAAGCACCATTTAGGATAAGGATGTGGGAAGACTGTGACTTTGTGGTTTCACTGAATTCAGAAGATTAAAAGTGGTGGCTCAAGCCTGTAATGCTAGCTACTCAGGAGGCTGAGATCTGAGGATTGTAGTTGGAATCAGGTCCAAGCAGGATAATTGGGGATAAAACTCTTTATCTCTAATTAACCAACAAAAAGCCATAAGTAGAATGGTGGCTCAAGTGATAGAGTGCCAGCCTTGAGGGAGAATGTTCAGGGATAGTGTCCAGGCCCTGAATTCAAGCACAAATAATGGCACAAAACTAAAAACTAAAAAAAAAGAAGAAGAAGAAGAAGAAGGAATGGGCATATTGATTTGGAGTAGTGTTGCTGGGGAAGCAGCACAGGAGGGTGTAAGGGAGTGAGTGTAGAGTGGGGCTGGGTTTTGACAGGAACAGACTCTCTTCCACTGTAAGAGGAAGGAAGGCCCGTAAGTGGAGATGCCCCTCAGATTGTACACTTGAAGGCAGATGATGAGTGTTTTTTCTAATGACTTATGTTGAGCTGAAAAGGGTGTGGGAGGCCTGAAACAAGAAGATATAAAATGACCTTCGTGAAGACTGGTTGAATAAAGGAAAAAAGCAAAGCTTGCCCAGCAGCCCTTGGGTCCTAGCTACGTTTGGAGGCTATTAGTGGTGCTGGCATTATCTGTGGTTTTATGGTTTATCTTTCTTTTTGTAATTTCTACAGCGTTAAAGGAGGAGTAGGGCTATGAGTAGTTACTGAGTCCCCAAGCATACAGAATTTTCAGTAGAGTGTGACTTTTAATTGAGAAGAATTACAAGGAAACCTCAACCTTAATTTTTTTCTTAATTTCTGAGAGTTTAATGGTATTAGCTATGATGCTCTGATTTTCAGTGACTGTTCTGAGATCAATTTAGTAAGCTTTATTGAGTACACATCTCATTGTGGGCTCTCCTCTGATTGAAATAAAAGTTAAAATCGCTGCCCTAAGTGTGGGAGAATGATTGGTGCTAGGAATACCATATAGTTATGCCAGGGAAGCACTTAAAGTGGACCTTCTCTAGGCTGCCTGCCAGAAGAAGGGACCCAAAGTAGCCATTTGCCTTGGAACTTACATGGTCCACTGTTGGAAGGCATTACTTGAAACTAGTAGCCAGAGGTTCAGGTCCAATGAAAAAATGCTGTGTGTTTCAATGAGAAATATTTTTAATGTGGTTTTATTGTTTAATAGTTAGAAGTTAAGAATTTTAAAGCATGTTATGTTCATATGAAGTACCAATGTTGAAAAAACATTATTTTACTTGCTATGATAGATATCGGATTTGATGGCTTTTATTGAATGCCTGAGTGTTTTTAAGGGACATTAAATATGCTGGTCTTGACACTGTTGTGCTTAACTCACCGAAAACACCCCCTCCCCGTTTTTGATAGTGTATAATTTACTTTTTTATTTTGCTGGTCCTATATTCAGGGCCTGGGCACTCTCCTTGAGCTTCTTTTGTTCCAGGCTAGCATTCTATGACTTGAGCCACAGCACCACGTCCAGCCTTTTCTGAGCAATTTAGTAGAGAGAAGAGTTTTGTGGACTTTTTTGCCGAAGCGGTTTCAAACTGTGATCCTCAGATCTCAGCCTCCTGAGTAGCTAGGAATACAGGCGTGAGGTACCAGCACCCAGTAGATGTACTTCTTTTTAACCACAGAGTTGGATAGTTAAAATGGAATAAATAAAATTAAATTTGTATGTATTCACTTTGTAAATACTGGAAATGAGTGAGTTAGGGGAAGGGAAGGGAGGGCAGATAACATTTGCTGAGTAAGCCAGGCACTAATGAGGTACTTTCATGCATGGTGAATGTATTTAGTTGTTGTTTATTTTGGTTTTTCTTGGTACTGTGGTTTGAACTCAGGGCTCCTACTTACCAAGTAGGTTCTTTACCATTTGAGCCACAACTGTAGCCCTTGCACTTAGTTTTTACGTAATCTAAAGATCTTTGCTATCAATTTATAGATAATTTTTGCTGAGCCAGATGTCTAGTGGTAAAAATCAGGATTTAACTCTAAATGTTTGGCTTCATTGCCTCTGTTCTTAAAAATAGGAAGAAAGAAGTTATAAAATAAGAAAGGGTTTATAGATTTTTTTTTGGGGGGGGTGCAGAAAAGACAGAGGTAAAGTAGGATTTTCTGTACTGGCCAATGTCTAGAGCAGTTTGTAGATGTGTTATGTATTTGTTATGAAGAAACCTGCTGGCCAGAGTTTCTTAAATATATGCATAAGTTGAGAGTTGTCTCTCCTTAAATTTAATTCATTACATGTGATTGAAATAGAATAATTTAGACCTAGCTTAAATATACTAAATACTGGGCTTTTAATTAATCATGTTTAACTGGTCACGTCTACTAACAACCTCCTTTAATATTTTTAGGTTATTGAATCTTTGGGAATTATTATCTATAAAGCACTGGATTATGGTTTAAAGGAAAATGAAGAAAGGGAGCTTAGCCCTCCCCTGGAGCAGCTCATTGACAACATGGCCAACACAGTGGAAGCTGATGGCAGCAATGATGAGGGATATGGGGCTGCAGATGAAGGCCTGGAAGATGAAGATGAAAAAAGAAAGATCTCAGCTATCCGCTCTTACAAGGATGTCATGAAGGTAAAATTGTGCTTCATATAGTACTTGAATCTCTAAAGTTGTTATCTCTCTCTCTCTCTTTTTTTTTTTATTGGTCGTGGTGCTTGAACTTTGGGTTTGGGCGCTGTCCTCAGCTCTTCAGTTCAAGGCTAGCGCTCTACCACTTGAGCCACAGTGCCACTTCGAGTTTTCTGGTGGTTAATTGCATGCAGATAAGTATCACAGACTTTCCTTGGGCTGGCAGATCTCAGCCTCCTGAGCAGTTATGATTACAGGCGTGAGCCACCGGTGCCCAGCTTTTTTTTTTTTTTTTTTTAATAAACTTGGGCTTGAACTCAGGGCCTAAGCACGGGCCCTTAGCTTTTTCACTCTAGGTAGGCACTTTACCACTTGAGCCAAACAGGATTTTCAGTGATTAATTGAAGAATCACACATACTTTCCTGCCGAGTCTGGCTTTGATCCACAATCCTTAGATCTCAACCTCTTGAGTTGCTAAGATTACAGATGTGAGCTAACAGTGCCTGATGATTTCATTTTTAAAAATTTGATATTTTAGTTTTGAGAATTAGTTCCCAGACTTTTGGTACCCTGAATAGGACCTTTTATGACCCACTTTCAGGAATATTCTTTTCTTCTCTGCAGCCTAGATGGCATTGTGTCTTCTGCAAACTTCTACATTTCTTTCTTTAGAGTAAATAGTGACTGCATGCCAATTATTTACATGAAGACTTTGGATGCCAGTATCACAGCTGATTGTTTTGTTTTCTTGACCTACCTAGTAGGACCTATATAAATGAATCAAGTTCAGGGGCTAAGATTAAAGTTTCTTTGTAGTTAAATTTTGCTGCTTATTTGAAGCCCCTAATGTCTGCAGTGTTAAATGTATGGGGTTAAAATTAAGACAGATTTAACAAATTAGCCTCAGAGTGTTCCATTTTGAGTTATTTATATATAATACCTGATTTTGTAAGCAATATTGGCAGTATCTCAGTTTATTTTCTAGTTTTTCTTAAAGCATTTCAGATGCAGTAATGTAGAGGAATCATGGAAAGAGGAGCTCCCTCCCTTTCCCCATGTAGGTCTCTTGGTACTCTGAAAAGTGGCCATATAATATATGAAATATATAAGAAATATATAAGAAATTCAGATATATTCTGTGGTTCATATATATACATATATATGTATATAAGTATATAATATATATTATGCACACATACACACATATTATATATATATACCAAAATTTCACACATTTAGGTTTTATAGATGTTATGGTTTATTTTTAAATACATATGTACTGGGGGACATTATGTAAATTGAAATAAGCCAGACACAATAAGACAAGTACCTCACAGTCCCTCTCATATGGAAGGTAAAGTCAATCTGAATATGCTGGGGGCCACTAGATGTTGGGTAGGAAGGGTTTGATCAGAGCAACAGTATGAATGTGTCAAAATACCATATAAAGCTCTAGTGATAAGTAAAATTCTATATGCTTATCAAAAATACTTTCAAAGAAGATGCATATAAGGAGCTTGGGCCATGGCTCAAGTGGTAGAGCACCTGCCTAGCAAGCACGAGGCCCTGAGTTTCGATCATAAGTACCACAAAAAAAAAGAAATACACTTAAAAGTCTGCAGAGGGCCGGGAAGGTGGCTCAATGGTAGAGCACTTGCCTTGCATGCTCAAGGCCCTGGGTTCAATTCCTCAGCACCACATAAGCAAAAAGAAAAAAGCCGGAAGTGGCGCTGTGGCTCAAGTGGTAGAGCACTAGCCTTGAGCTGAAGAGCTGAGGGACAGCGCCCAGGCCCAGAGTTCAGGCCCCACGACCGGACCCAAAAAAATAAATAAAAATAAAAAATTAAAGGTCTGCAGATCAAAAATGCTCTAATTATTTTATAGAAAAATCAATGATAATGATCCTAAAAATGAAGAATAAAGAGTTTACATTAAAAACACTACTCATACCACTCAAGGTTAACAGTATTTTGGTAGCGTATATAGGCAAAAGTGGTGTGCAAGGAGTTGTGAAGGAAAAAGGAACCAGTAGTATCAATAAAATCAGCTCTGGCACCAGTAGCATGACATGTAGTTTGAAAGATGAAGGCAGAGATTAATGGAAATCTTAAAATTTCACAGCAGCCTATTAAGTATGCTTATTAGAAAACAAACATTCCTGGGCATTTAGCACTTTGAAGATATACTTTTTATTCTGTTATTTTAAATTTGAGCTACTGTGTTTGCCATACTCAATAAACATCAAGAATTGGAGACTCGGTTCAAGTGGTAGAGCACTTGCCTGGCAAATGCCAGGTCTGAGTTCAAATCCAGTACTGAAAAAAAAGCTAAGTCATTAAAGAAGTGCTTAAAAAGTCATATTTTATATGGATATCATCATATTAAATGAGAAAGCCAAACTCAGAAAGATAGATACTACGTTTTCACCCATATGTGGAATGCAAACTTTCAAAATGACATAATTCTAGAAGAAGGACCATTGTAAGAGAGAGGGGACCAGAAGAGAGCAGTAGACAAATATGATCAAAATACATTGTGTGTGTGCGTGTGTGTAATACATTGTGTGTGTGCGTGTGTGTGTGTGTGTGTGTGTGTGTACTATAATGATACTCAACAGTTATAGGCAGAGAGTATTTAAGAAAGAGCAATATATGTACAATTAATTTATGATAATGAAAGACTATAGACTGGAGGAAATCTGTACATTTACTAGTTCCACTTTTAGCTGTTTTACTTATGAATATCATAATCTCACCTCTTATTTCTTAATCTCCATGCTAATAAAAACTGGCCTGTGAGTTTCCTACAACTGTAACAATATTTTCTGAAACATTCAGTATAGCTAAATGAGAGGAAAAACAATTGCTGAGACATTTAACAAGTAAACTAAAATTTTTAAATATTATAAAACCCATTACTCATGATCATAGAGAGACCCATAAGAATTTGTGGTTTGGCTAGTAGATTGAAAACCTCAATTAGTGAATTAGAGATAAGAGTCTCACCAACTTTCCTGCCTGGGCTGGCTTCAAACTACAATCTTGACAGACGTTCCTGCCCTGGCTGGCTTCAGTGATCCTCAGATCTCAGCCATGTGACTAGCTAGGATTATTGGCTTGAGCCACCAGCATTCAGCTCTCTTTTTAAACCTTTTGTTTCACTTTTTTTAAATTGTGTTTCTTGTCAAATACAGAAATTTCTCTTCTACCACTCACTGAACTTTTGAATTCTGGCTTTCTGTGTTTTTTTTTTTAATTGTCTGTGTCAAATGTACAGCTAGATGTGATTTTCTGTCAGTAGATTCTGCTAAACAACATCAACCCCATTTTGTTCTTTCCCTGCTCCCTACTCACCCTACACTCTTGGGAGGTGGGGGAAGAAAAGATCACCTCGTGTGTTGTAGCTCATTTGTTCCAAGAGAGAGTCAACAGATCATATTTATTGTCTTGAGTGAATTGCTCTATTTTGGCATTATTAGAGGGAAAAAAAGAACTTGAGTTTGAGTAGGCCACTGTTGTGTTTTGGACATGAAATATTCCCCCAAAACATCAAGTTCAAGTTGAAGGCTGACTCACCAGCTGTTGGTGCCATTGAAAGGTGATTGAGTCATGAGAGCAAAAAGCTCACTGAGGGATTAATCCATAGCTGAATGGATTCTTAGGAGGTGGGGCCTACCTGAAGGAAATAGTTCACTGGGGGCATGGCTTGAAGGCCATTCTTCTCCCTTTCTACTTCTCCTCTACCCTCTGCTCTCAGCCACCTCTTCATTGTGAGGGGAGCCACCTTGCTCCCCTACATGTTCCCTGCCATGATGTTTTGCCAAAAATCCATGCATAGGTTCAGAACAACAGAGCCAAGTGACCATAGACTGAAACCTGAAACCATGAATCAAAATAGATCCTTCTTCCATAAGTTGTTTTTCTCATTGTCACACCAATGCAAAGGCTAGCATAGAAACTTTCTCCATGATACCAAAAAAAGGTAAGCATTGATTTATCAGTAAAAGCTCTTAACTGACAAAGCCTTTATTTATTGACAAAAATTATGAAGATGCAATAAAATGTACATTTCAACAGTTGTATTAATGTTGAATTTATTAAGAGAACATCAGTTTGTGTGTGTGTGTTCGCACGCACACCTGTGCACGTGTGCATGTGTGTGCTGATCCTGTGGCTTGAACTCTGGGCCTGGGCTCTGTCCCTGACCACCTTTTGCTCAAGGCACTTGAGCCACAGTGCCACTTACAAGAACATCAGTTTTTTAGTGCTCAGGTTTATCTGTTGTGTTAAGTTAGAACTCTGATGCTTGCCTAGAAGCCCTGGGTTTGATTCCTGGGTACCACATAAACAGAAAATCCAGAAGTGGTGCTGTGGCTCAAGTGGTACAATCAGCCTTGAGCAAAAGCATCTCAGGGACAGTGCCCATGCACTGAGTTCAAGCCCCAGGACTGGCAAAAAAAAAAAAAAAAAAGTTAAAACTCTAAGTTGTATCTATTGTACTTAGATACATAATTATTGTTTAGCAGAAAGATAAAGTTATTCCTATGGAGTAGTAAGAAGATGTCTGCATTCTAACAAGGTAAATGGTGCTTGGATTTTCTAAATTGCTTTGCATGAAGTTAAATTTCTTCTTTTACCCATAGTCATCCTGGGGGAATTATGGGCTATATATAACCAAGGACATCAAGGCTGCTGCAGCACCAGCAGGCTTAGCACCCCACCCCATCCCCCATTTCCTGTTATCTATTTCTAAGGTCTGCATGTTTTTCTGCCGAAATCCAACATGTGTTAAATTCTGTGACTGGACAAGGTACCTGCCTTTTCTCTTCTTTTTTTTTTAATTTTTTTTGGGGTCCAGTCGTGGAGCCTGAACTCTGGGCCTGGGCGCTGTCCCTCAGGTCTTCAGCTCAAGGCTAGCGCTCTACCACTTGAGCCACAGCGCCACTTCCAGCTTTTTTCTTTTTGTTTATGTGGTGTAAGGAATCAAACCCAGGGCCTCATGCATGCAAGGCAAGCGCTCTACCCCTGAGCAACCTTCCCAGCCCCGATACCTGCCTTTTTTTAACCTCATTTTTCTTTGTTATAAAATGGGGGAATGTTCAGGGTTACATTGGCAAGTGAGTGGTATTATGTTGCTAATGTGCTATGTCAAATATAGTACCTGGTATGCTCAATAATTGGTACCTAAATTACTGTCAATATGCAGTAAATGGTTGTTATCCCTTTCTGCTCCTAGCCAAAACTTTTACATGGTGTCCTTTCATTTTCAAGTAAAAGCAAATTGTAATCAGCCGGTTCATGCTGCAAAGTATCCATTAGTGAACCCCTTTTCCCTCATTATGTAGGCTTTACCAATGGTCTTGTGTTGGGTGCATTAAGCCTTGGATGTTGGCAACTGCCTAGCTGATATGAAAATAAAGTTATACTAGATGTATCTGTATTTAAGGCATCCAAACCCCAAATAACCAAGTTCATCTCTCCTGTAGATTTGTGCTGCTCATCTCCCAACCGAGTCAGAGGCTCCGAATCATTATCAGGCTGTGTGCCGTGCATTATTTGCAGAGACCATGGAGCTGCATACATTTCTGACCAAAATTAAGAGTGCAAAGGAGGTAAGTGCAGCTGTTTGATGTTTATTGGTATTGAGAAAGGTAAACCTGAGATTGCAACATTGTTTGTTTTATTATTTTAAAATGCTATTGGTCAAGATGCGTTGTATTCATAAACTGACATGCTTTTGAAACCCCTTTATACAACTTAAGATAATATTTAAAAATTAAAATTAAAAAGTGAAATAAAATGCTTACTTCCATCTTTCTGAAATGCTGAAACCATTTAGAAAAGAAGCAAGTTAGGAGGTAGATACTTCTGCATAGGCTTGGAAGAAGAATGTCTGAGCCAGAGAGAATAAAATTTAATGTTGGAGGAGAAGAGGAGTAATGAGAGAATGTATACATGTGAGTTCATAGACTGGGCTCACACATGTAGGCTGGAGAGAGGAGATACCTGTCGTTAGGTATGAAATAAGAGAGAGAGATAAAAAAGGAAAAGACAGAATATTACAGAAATATCAAACAGTAAGAGTTTTTTTGTGGTACTAGAGTTTGAACTCAGGATTTTATTCTCTCTGTACAGGTACTCTAACACTTGAGCCACATCCCCAGCCCTTTTGGAGTTAGGTTATTTTTCAGGTATAGTTCTGTGATTTTTACCTATGGCTGGCCACAGACTGTGATCCTTAAGTCTATGCATTGCAGTAGTTTGTATACAGATGTGAAAACACCAGACCTAGCTTATTGGTTGAGTTAAAGTCTTGCTACTTTTGCCCTGAATGACCTGATCCTCCTGATCTCTGCCTACCCAATAGCCAAGATTACTGGCATGAGCCACAGCATCTGGACATAGAATAATCTAAGACTAGGAAGTTACTCTTAGTGATTTTTTTCAGCAGCACATACATTAAAATGGGACAACACAGAGAGGATTAGCATAGCTCCTGTGCAAGGATGACACACAAATTCATGAAGCAGTCTGTTTTTGTTCCACGTTTCTCTCATGTCTATGCTGCACCTAGTCTGCATCTCAGGATCTGAGTTTCCCTGAGTGTGTGGTAGAGAAATCTTCAGGGATTTCTGTTGAGCAGGATTAGCAGGCCCTGCTCTCCACCTCCGGGATAGCTGGCATGGTCTCTTCAACATCTCCCCTAGCTCCTAGATCTATTTTGCAGGTTCTTCTGCTAGCTTCTTGGCCACCTAGACGGGGCCAAACAAAGGTCCCTGGCATTGCTCTGAGTTACTGGGGGAGGGAACTCCACCTGCCCAGTCTCAGATAAATAATAATACCCTCCCCTCTGCCCTCCTCTCACCCATCCCCACAGAGCTGTTAATCGGCAGACTGCATAGGAGCCCAGAATACACACAGTTAAGTGACAGGAGACATGGGGTCACAATACCTCCATTCCCGGGCTGATGTATTCTTTCTTCCTTTCCACATCTCATTTTTACCTCTATTGCTTACACTACCCCAGGTTGGGCACTGCTGAATTTCTCCAGTTTATTAGGTTTTAAACTGGGGAGGCTAAGGTTCCAAGGCCATCTAAATCACTGCAGAAAGTTCGGTTCAAAGATGACTTGTATTCATTCAACAAGCTCTTCCTTGTTTTCATATCAGTCTTACCTCATAGGCAAAATGTGTACATATAAACATGTAAAAAGCATGTCCTATAATATTTATTATGAGATTAGTGTTTACTATTTTATATTTTAAATTTGAGATCTTACAGGAAACAAATTCAGTATTAGAAATATACTAACCAAATTTCAGGTTGCTACAGATCTTTTTTGAAAAAATCCTGTGGATTTAAAAAATTGTTAAACTAACCCTATAACTCAGGCTAAATATTACTGCCAAATTAATGTCAGTAGAATCTAAAAATAAATTCTTTGTTTTTATAATCTAGTGATAGAAGATTCCTGAAAAGAACTTCCATGGTGATGGGAAGGGGAAAAAATGGGAGATAGTGAGGGAAGGGTGACATTGTCCAAAAAGAAATGTACTCTTTACCTGACTTACGTAACTATAACCCCTCTATACATCATCTTTATCATCACAATACAATTTTTTTAAAACCTTCTTAATAGTCACAAAGAGGCAGTACAAGTAGTGCTGAGCATTAAGAAACATTATATTCTGTTTATTGCAGTCAGAACTTTATAAAGCATATAAAAGACTTGTCCTAACTTCTGTTTTTCCATCATAATTTAACACTCGGCTAAGGTAGACTATCCAAATGTTTTGATCTTTGAGAGGTTCGATGTCTAATATAGTTAAGCTGACGTAAGATTTCAGCAGTGCAGATTCTACAGGTGTGGACTGTTGTTTCTGATTATCTGATTATATGGTCTTTGAGCGCTTCTCAAGTGTGGCTCCATCCTTAGTGCTTAGTAAGTTTCTTGTTGACGTCTTAACCTCCTCTTGTAAATTCTTTATTCACCCTTTCAGTTAGGGTTTTCTATTCACTTCCTTCATGTCCCAGACCATCCCTGGACACATTCATATACTTTGCATACAGCAGGACCCAGCTGGACACATTCACATACTTAGTATACAGCAGGACCCAGCTGTTTTCTTGGTAGCAGCCATCACAGTCTGTAAGTGTCTAATTGATTTTTCTCTTTAAAAAATTATTATAAAGGTAATGTACAGAGGGGTTATAGTACATGAGTCAGGCAATGAGTACATTTCCTTTTAAACAGTATTCCTCCCTCTCTCATTCTCTCCCAGTTTTTCCCCTCCCTGCAAAGTTGTATAGTTCATTTCCAACATAGTGTCTAGTGGGTTTCACTGATGAATTGATTCAGTCTTTGTCCTACTGTTTCTGTGTTTCCCCTTCCCCTCCCCAAATCAGATAAACAGATGCAAAACAAAAGGTACAGAAATCATAAACAGAAACTGAATAAACCAAAGAAAAAAGAAAGAAGAAAAGAGAAAAAAAATGAACCATAAACTATACAATAAAAAACATCTTACTTCCATTTCTTGGAGTTCATTTTGATAAACATTATTTTATATGATTTTAAGCCCCTACAATCCTCTCCTAAGGATATACTGCTTTGTTCTCTATGTGTGAATGTTTAGACTGCTGCTTAATCATGGTCAAGAAAATGTGGTATGTGCACAATGAAATTCTGTGCTTCCATCAGAAAGAATGATAGTGCCCCATTCATAAGGAAATGGGAGGACTTGGAAAAAAATTATACTAAGTGAAGTAAGACAGATGCACAGAAACATAGGCTGCTCATTTATAGTGATTAAAATATGCCTGTAAATCTACAAGTAAGCCCAATGGTCTTTCTCTTTGTCTTGATCTCTGCCAATAGAATATAATCTGGTTGGGAAAGAGGCCTGTCTCCCAATTCTGTAAATGTTAGACAGATGTTGACTAAATGGGTGCTGGGTGGATCAGCTGTGGTAGTTGCAGTTGTCTGTGTTTTATCTTGTGTATTTAGTGGGAGCAAATAGGGGTTAGATGGTCCTTTGTACTCTGAATCGCCTCTAGAATTCAGAGCTTTCTTTCTCACTTTGCTGGTCTGATCTACGTAGTGGAGTGGTGCATCACTTTCTAGAGCCATTGCAGATCTTCATATTTTTCCTGTTTTCCTGTAATCTATCCTCCAATGTTACTTGCCTGTGTAAAGATCTTGTCAACACTTGTTCTCTGTAGATACAAAGCATTTAAATTAGTACAGCCTGTCCTCTCCGGGTTGTCATCCACCAATATAACCATCTATGTTTGTCCTGCCTATACTTGGAACATGATCATCCCAGCCTCTTCCCTCACCTCCTTCTCTTATACAATGCCTACTTAATCTTAAGATGTAACTTTAGAGGTCCACTATTCTGAAATGCTGTGAGTTAATTTTTTTCTTCGTGTTGGTTCCTAAAGCACTGTGCTCTGGTTTCTTTCTGTCACTTATACTGTACTGTAATTACATATGTCTCCTCAGTGAACTTCTTCAAGAGCAAGGATCGTTTTACGTTATCAGGAAATGTCTCACATAGCATTCTTCTGGGCATGTTTCCCTTGCTGTTTCCTAAACTCATGTAACATAGATCCCTGTCAATGAGGTGGACTTTTTTTCACCTAATATTTATCAAATTTTGAGTAGCTTGGAGTCAGCACCTGAAATCATGCGCACTAATTAACACCTGGTCTGCACAGCCACATTCTGCTGTTCAGAGTGAGATGCTGAATTGTAGGGTGTTAGTATTTAATGACACTTGATTTTTGTTCATTTTTCAAAGATTTCTGCTAGAGGACAATTTGTGTACTTGGGGGAAAGAGCCTCCATCCTGTACAGCTATTGAAAGCTAGACAGCCTTTATCCCTTTTATCTGAGGCCCACTTTTCTTCCTGAGTACCTCCTTCTTGGCCTCTGCTTGTACTTCATAACTGTGACAGGCTTGTTACTTAGGTAGTAATGACTGCTTTGTATAAGTAGGGAACTCCAAACAACGTTGACCAAACTCCAATAAAATAGTTGCTAGAGTGATTGATAGAAAGGGGTTAGGATTCACTAGCAGAAATGGAGCTTGGCATAGGAGGTCCAGAAGTGAGGGAAGTATCTATAAAGCTCCATATAGGTACAACCAGAAACGAACAAGGAATTTTGGTGAAAACCTGACAGATTGTAATAACTGTTTCTAGCAGGCACTGAATTTTAGAACTAAGCCCAGCTGGCAAAATTTACTCATTTGTACAACAATCATTTAATGGTCTCCTGTATGACAGATGCCACCACAATCAGTAATTGCCAACATTTATTTCTTGCTTGCTCTATGCTGGATACCATCCTAAGAATGCACATCAATTTGTTGAGTCTTCACAACAAAACCATGTGTTAAGTGCTACTATTACTTCCTTTTTCTTTGGGCGTACAGTGGTGAACAGGTGATTGTGGCCTCTGCCTCTCACTGAGGATGACAGTCTAAGAGGAGCCATCCAGCTCAATGTGGGAAGGCTGTGATGAGTTCATGCAGGGCACTAATCCAGCACAAGAGGCTAACATCACAGCCTGTGCTAAGACGTGATGCTGCTAAACAAAATGGTGGAAGGAAGCAGCCCATGTGAAGATCAGGACAAGGGTGGACAAGGGAGAAGGTGGGTGGGGTAAGTAGAAGGGAAAGAGGCAGAGCTGTCAGGCAGTGAAACCACTTTTAGGAGGACCATCCCAGGAGATGTTACATAGGTAAAACAGGCATCTAATAGGGGAGGCCATAGAGTCCACTTTTCTTTTGCTGTTGTTGTTTTGTGTGTGAGTGTTTGTGTATGTTAATACTAGGGCTTGAACTAAGGGCCTGGATGCTATCCCTTAGCTTTTTTAGTTTTTGCTCAAGGCCAGGCTTTACCACTTAAACCACATCTCACTTCTGGCTTTTTAATGATTATTTAGAGATAAGAGTCCCATGAACTTTCCTGCCTGGCCTGGTTTTGAACCATAATCCTTAGATCTCAGCCTACTGTGTGTCTAGGATTATAGACTATGATCCACCAGCAAGTCTAGTTTTGTAACTACTGATACTCTGAATGCCTTTTTTAGGCATGAAGTAATATCTGTGTGTGAGTACTCTCAGGATCCTGTCCACTGAGCACTACTTTCCCTCCTTTTTTTTTCATATGTCATTGAACACCCCCTGAGCATATGAAGATCACAGACAATGGAGCCCTCCTAGAGAAGGAATGTAGCAGAGAAAAATGAACTTGAAGCCTAGGAATGATATTCTCTCTGGAGCTACTTATGACTACCTAAAAAATAGTTCAGTTACAATTGCAGTCAGTATCTTCCCAAATCTGTAAGATATAAGTTCACTCTTCTACACATGGAGTTCCTTTGCTTTAAAGATGTTTTTGCTTTAAAATAGAAATATTGATGAATCTTTGACTGTCAGTAGACTGGCCAGAGGAAGGTAGTATAGGAAGAGAGGCTAGTTGCTGTTCTCAGAACTGTCTCATAAAGGCCAGCACTAGGAAACTTAACCTAC